GTCAGTTCTGTTCCATTCTTTGATTTGGGGGTCATCATTTAAGCAAGTGACTGTATTAATACAGGATCTATTACTTTTTACAAATAGGTTTTGTTTAATAAGCAGTATTTATGAAACATGTAAACTTACACTCTTTGCTGTCCAGAAAAAAGTAAAAAATCTGTGTAAATATTTTGAGTAGTAGAGTAGATTTAGAGCAGGAGTATGGTTGACCTTGGGGGGCTGGGCATGTGGTCAGCTGGTGGGGTGTGGCCAACTGGGTGAGTGTGGCCAGCTTGATGCCATTCACTGAGTGAGACCAACTGGGTTGGCCTGGCTGACTGGGTAGGTGTGGCCGGCTTGATGCCACTCCCCAAACTGCTGGCATGTTTTCTCTTCGCACTGGGTAGATTGGGCCAATGCGACACAGGCTAACCCCCTTACATTTTCCAGAACAGCCCCGTGGGCTGATCCGACCATATCATGGTCTGGATCCAGCCCGCGAGCCTTGTGTTTGACACCCCTCATTTAGAACAATTTGGTGCCTAGGTAATTTTTAGGTTTGGGCCCATTCCTTTGTATTAGTTTATATTACAATAAATATATCACTGTTTAATATTTTCAAGGATTCCAAAACTTTCAATTAGTAGTTCTGTAAAGTAAGTGCTACTTTTCCAGAATTAAAGAACAATATTTTGAAAGAAAGGGCAGATCCATACTGCCGAATTGTTCTACCATCTTCTATTCACCCCCAGTATGCTAAAATGCAACTTTAACTGTTTTCTGCAGACACTCCAATTTGTCAATATAGTGATGTCCAGAACTAGGCATGGTATTCAGATGGGTACCTGATCGAGATAGTGTAGATGGGACAATTAGTCTTCAATCTGTGTTCCTATTAATACATTGTAAAATTGCATGTCTTTTTAGCAGCTGTGTCCTGCTGCTGGTTCACATTCAACCTGTGATCTACTTACACACCCAGAATCTTTTCACATGTACAGCCAGGTTATCCCATATTTGTTTCATATTTTTACTCAGATGTGGAACTTCATATTTCTCCCTGTTAAATATATTTTGTTCATTCCATTCCATTGTTCAAGTCCATCTGTGGAGCTTTTTGAATATGTTTTTTAAATAATAGGTCCTCCTAATTTTGTTTCATCTTTCGATGTGATGATCATTATCAATTTATTAATAAAAATGCTGAACAGTACAGAACTCAGTTTAGTGCCTTTGACATGCCACTCAGTACTATTATCTAATTTGATATAGAGCCATTTAAGAGTACTCCCTGGACCATCTTTCAGTCAATTATACATGTCTACAGTTGTATCATTTTCTACTTACATTATCATTTTATTAATGAGGACATCATAAGAAACTTCACTGAACTTTTTGCTGAGGTCAAAATATTAAGTTAGTCACTCTGTAAAAAAAGGAGATGACAGTAGATTGCATGACATGTTAATGGCAGATCCATGATAACTCTTTTTAACTGCTGCATGCTTATGCAAAGACTCCCAGATATTCTGTTAAATTATCTGCTAAGGAATCTTGCTCAGTGTAGATATCACGCTGAGGTCTGTAATTTTGCAGGATCTTCTCTTTTCTGAAAATAAGAGTCCTGTTCATTCTCCTTCAACCTTCTATAATTTAATAATTCCATGAGAGTTTTCAAAGATTACAATTAATGGTTCTGCTATCACCTCTACAACTTCCTTCCATATCTAGGGTGTAATTCATTTGGCTCTAAAAATTGTCAAGTAATTTAAATTAGCTGAGTGATCTTGCTTGGCCTGAGATGCATTTCCCACCTCCTGCCATGGCTAGCTAGAGCTTCATTTCTCCTCAGAGAGGAGACAGACCTAAAAAACAAAATAAAACATTCTGCCTTCTCGCTATCACCCATAAACTGTTCCTTGCTTTGTTTTTTCAACAGACCTACATTGTATTTTTTGTTTCCTTTCCTTGTTTCAGACATATATGAAATAATGTTTTTTATTCTTTGAGGCATTTCTTGCAAACCTCAGTTCACTGTTTCAGCCATTCTCAGCTAGTCCTTACTGAGTCCTTATTTCTCTCATTATTTTGTTGTAACAAATGCAGGAAATCAGGAGTCCAGGCAGTTCAAATGAATAAAGGTTTATTGCATGCTAAAGCTCTCTACAAGAATCTGAACTATTAACAGTCAAAGCAAATTGGCGGTAGTAACAGTCAATGGAATTTAAGGTGGGCTGGACTTAGATTTCTTGTGGGCACAGGGACTCAAGAATGATGACATGTTTGACCCTTCTCTTGGGCTCAGCCTGATCATCTTCTACACCAGGGATGTCAAACTCAATTTCATTGAGGACTGCATCAGGGTTGTGTTTGACCTCAGGAGGGCCTGGGCAGCCTGATGTCGCTTATTGAAGCTCCATTTTTGACCATGACGGCCCTCCTGGGCTCCATTTTCAGCTGCAACAGCCTCCTCAGCCCTCTGCCAGTGAAAACACAGCTTGGGAGGGCCACGTGCAGTCTCTCCAAGCTCCATTTCTCTGGCAGAGGCACCACGGGGCAGCCCTTTGCTGCTTCCAAGGTGAGCCCACGGGCCAGATCTAAGCACCCATGGATTGATCCTTCGCTGTTTCCAGGGCACACCAATGAGCCAGATCAAGACCCTGGGGCCTTGAGTTTGACACTCCTATCCTACACTGTCCTCCCTATTCATAATAACTTTTCAGCAGTTTAGGAAGTCTCTCCACTGATGTCATCAGATGTCAGGTTGTGTCTCCGCTATGTCCTTTCACAGTCCTTTGGCACCTTCTGTAGCTATCGGAAAATTCTATTTATGTTAATTTTCCATTTCTTTCTGCACCCAGTTTTTGCCTGAAAATGATAATGGACTTTGGAGACTAATATATTAAGATAAAGTTGGCCATGCCTATACTTGTACTTCTCTCTCTCTTTCTCTTTCTGCAGAATAAACCCAATTAAGAACACTATGTGTATATACTCATACTATACAATCAGTACATGACAGAGCTGAAGTGGGCTTCTGAAATCCATATGGATATTAGGGACTAGAGGCGGCCATGCCCCCAAATGGATACATATGTTCATGCCTACTCATATTTATAGTTATAATGCATGTATATAATATCATGCTATAAACTGCTTCATAAATTACTTCATGGTAATTCAGACAACAAATACAACCCAGGAGCATCTTTATTGTGAAGTGACATTAAATAGAATCATGCAAGACTGAAAGTGTTCTCTTCCTCTTTCTATGGAAAACTAGGAAGGGTTTCTTCTGAAATGCTTCCCATGCTTTCCCCTTACTTGTGGACTGAACTGATTGTTGACTTGGCTGTGAGTCTTCCTTCTATCCCACAAGATCATTCCCACATAATATCAGGCATGCATGCACAAAGTCTATCCTTTTTTAATTGCAGTTATCTCAATTATAGTTGGGTAGGGTTATTGGAGAACCAATCCTGATGCAATGGGGATAACTGGAGAAGGAAAGTCACCTCCCCCAATTGCTTCTCCACTTCCTCAATGCTTCCTTTGTGCTAAGTTTCTGAAAGACATTATCCCTACAAGCTCCAATGATTATAGGTCCTTTCAATGTGAGAGGTAAATGCAGCTGTGCTGTGAGAATTCCATTATAGCAGCAGAAGCTTTAATCAGCAATAAAACAGGTAAAGGCAATTGGAGAATAAACTGCAAAATGGGTATATGTTCTGTTGACATTTATTTACATGTTTGCTAGCAAATAATAAGAAATAATGCAATAATTAACACAGAAATAAACATTATAACCAAATTCTTAACAGAAAGCAAAAAAGAAACACTGGTTAAACTTTACAACTTCAATTACAGTATCTTGCATAAGAAGACAAATCAGTTATGAACAGGTTTGAATTTGAATCCTAAAGAAAACTATTTGCCTTTAACTTAGTAAAAATACCAACAAGTGCTTGAATCCAGAGGAAAATAAATTATATTTAAAATAATTTGAAATTTATATGTGAATTACAGTATCTTATATTCTTTTTCTAACATAGGTTGTACAAAGAGAGTAAGCATATTTTACATGAGGTAGATAAGATGGTTTAGATCCCCTATATGGTTAATGCCATTAATTCAGGAGGCAACTAGCCATGGGTTTCCTGATTTTTTTACTGGATGTATGATGTAGAAATTTTGAGAAGTGGTCCCTATGTTTCCCAGGATAGACATTGGGAGTGACGAGAGAGACAAATTATGACTTATGTGTGATGTCATGACACAAAAGTTGCACTTACGAACTCTCATTAGACATTTTGAAAGAGACATGCATGTAGTTATCTTACTAAATTGACATTGTTGATGAAGTTGCCTTTTGGTTGTAGACATGTAGTGAGTAGACTTAAGGGGCACAATGGGTCCAGTCATACTTCTGTTGGTAGGATCAGGGTAATTTATTTTTTCCCACATTTGAGTAGGTTGTTTTGAAGCAGTTAATTTTTTTATTTTTTGCTTTTTAAAAATATTTGCAAAAAGCTGCTGTTGATTATTGGTCATAACAATAAGATGCAAATACCATATGTGATTCTAGAACCATAGATTTCTCTCCTCTATCATGCAACATGAAACTATACTTTGATAATGTGACATACAAATTCATATTCTCTACATACTTGCAATAGCATATCATGTCAACCATATGTAATGTATGTACATGTGCATGTGAAGATGGGATCCTATATAGAAAATTCCATTAATAATCATTCTAATATAGTTCTTCTATAGTATGTTGCCTTTATTTTTATTGATTTTTTTTCACATATACATAAACTGTAATTTTAATTATTACGAAGATATTGATTTTTAAAAAATAATATATCTAATTTAATAAAGTTAAGATAAAACAGATTTAAGGGTAGTCAGCTGACTTGGAGGGAATTTTCTTTTGTTTGTCAATCTAAACATGATGATACAGGACTAAAATATATAATAGGAACTTATTTTAATAGTATGGATGAAGAGAG